CAGACAGTTTTTTCTCATCCGTCTTGAGTTCTGCTGGAACTTTCCAGTCCAAAATGACCAAATGTATGGGTATTCCGCTCCACTGATCCATGTTATGAGCCCTCCTCAAGGTCGATCCCAACATGCTGACGAGTCCTAGGAGCCGCAGGTGGTTTGTGATTCTCACAAATCACACCCATCATATGGTTTAGCTTGTAAATCAGCTGATTTTGAGTACTCGTAGCATAAACCAAACCTTCGCACTAACTCAGAAGCTTTGCCGTGGCTGAAACTGCTGACGAAGTCTTCTTCAAAAGTTGACAAAACAGAGACTCGATGGATCCAAAGAGCAGAACCCCTGCTATCATAAATCCAAATATATAAATGTCTTCAGCGTCCTCCTGAGACAGGAATAAGAAACACATCAGCTGCCAAACTCCCCATGGATTTCTGATGTACCCCACAGCGTGAGTCTCAGCTGGACAAGAGGGTTCTCCAGGACCCTGTCATTTTGGTGAAAAGATTTTGTTGATTGTGTTGAAAGTCCAGCTCACCAGATCCATAATTGTATTTTTCGTTCGGGAAATGTGTACCAGGAGCTTCAATCACACAGAGAGCAAAGCAGGAGGACGAGGAGAACAGGGGGAAGGAGAGCAGGAGTGTCCGCCTTGAGCGAGAGCTATAGTAGAAGAACATTTTAGACCTTTAAATTGCATTTAATCAATCAGGTTGAACTCTTTGCTGTTTAAAATTATAATTAAAAAAAAAATCTGTTTGTTTTTTTGTTAGTTTGATCACATGTACTGTATACATCAGCTTTGTCATGCATCTACAAAAAAATGTTTAAGATGCTATCATTGTCCATACCTCTACAGATAAAAAAAATAAAGAGCATCTACTTTTTCCACACAGGCGCCTGCTCATTTAATCAACATTACTTTTTATAATATTGTGCCATTATTGGATCTATGATTATTGTTGCAAGCATGGTTTTAGAGGCGGAATTGGGGATAATATTGAGAGTCAGTCACTAGCATCAGCAGGAAAACAAAAGCAGAGTGTTTATCACGGTCTTTGGAGAGACACAGGAAATTGAGTTTGTCCAGTTTAATGATGGGCAGAGTCACGCAGATTTACAGACATACCATTTCTCTCCTATTAGCAGAGATGTGTTATTCATGAGGGCAAATCTAGTATGAACTATGTTTCATTGATATTCTACACACTCATTTCTCATTGTCTGTCAGGGGGCTCCAGCTATTCTGCTTTATTCATTTACTTATCGGGTTTTCTTTCTATACCCACCCAATAAAAGAATGGAAACTTGGTGATGATGGGGCTACTGGGTCAAACATTATTCTCCCTGTAAAGAGCTATCTGTATCGCCTGTCATCAGTTATCAGTGGAAGGAGTGAAATACTTCATTGGAGCTGAAAGACATGACGTGGAATACACAGGCCGGACTCCTACCACAAATAGCTGTGTGCTTAATTTTCCAAAAACACATTATCTCTCTTTGAGAGCTCTCCTATACTCTGCCAAATTCCAATGAGCGTTTGGCATATGGATGCTTAGTTGACTCTATTTATATAACACAATCTGAGCTGAATGACTTATTGTATGAGCTTCACAATGCTGTTATGGCAGACATTATTTTGTTTCTACATTTCTATTTAAGGACAGCCTTGTCACATAAATCATTTTTCCCTTCGGTCCTGAAAAACAACGTGACTATTCAAAGCTTCGTAAGCAAGCATCGACTAGCCTGTTTGAGTTGTCACACTGTCTTTTAAACCTAAACCTGTTGCATGTGTGTAAAGCTTTGGACTCAGATCCCACCTGTGGTACGTATGTGGTGTTTTGTTGCACAGACGTGTGCAAGTGTTTATGTTTATGTTTGTGGTGAAATCGTGTGGAAGGTTGAAACGGCGAGCTGTCAGGTGCTGAAGTCAGTGTAAAAAAGGAACGGGATGCCAGCTGCGAAGGGGGAGTACACAAGCTCAGAGTGAGGCTGTAAACGAAGAAGAGAGTGTTTTGGTGCTCCCTCGCCTCACAGTCGTCTTGTACAAAGAGTCTCCACATCAAATAGTCCTGTTTTGTAAAACCTCATTGGGATTGGAAGTTACAATTTTCTGTTCCAAGGGAAGGAATATATGAACGTTATTAAGGTGCATTTTCTTACAATTTTTTATCACCTGCTTCTATGAAAGATGGGCAGCCATGTAGTCTATGGGTTCATTTGTTTCTTTGTGTTAGCAAAATACCGCATGAAGCACTGGACAGATTTCAATTAAACTTTCATATAGCTATCATCCATCCATTATCTTTACCTGCTTCTTCCTTTTCGAGCCGCCTTGGTCACTGGTGCTCATGTCCAGCCAGCACTGTGTGAGAGGCGGGGGGTTCACCCTGGACAGAGCTCCAGTCCATCACAGGGACACGTGGAGACAAACGAGACAAACAACCATTGACTCTCTCACTCACACCTAGCGACAATTTACCAATCAGCCTAACAATCATGTTTTTGGTCTGTGGGAGGAAACCAGAGTACCCGGAGAAAACCCACACATGCACAGAGAGAACATGTAAACTCCACCCAGAAAGCCCCCCAGACCGGGATTTGAACCAGGGACCTGCTTGCTGAGAGGCAGCAGCTCTACCAACTGTGCCACCGTGCTGCCCCATATAGCAATCACCATTTACATTTACAACTGATTACCATTTGGATCAAACTGATCAAAGATGGCTGCCACAGCCAATCAATCTTGGCCAAAACAAAAATGACTATAAATCTATAAATTCAACAGATTCTGATCTAACATTTGTTGTAGCATTAGCTCTGAGTCATGTCCAACAGATACTCTGACGGCTAACAGAGTGTAAAAGATCTTTGTCTAAAACTTTGACATGCAAGGTGGAAGGCATCTTCTTAATTTGAAAAGTCTTTATTTTAGAGGATCACATTTTACAGAGTAATGAATAAAATGCTCTAGCAAGCAGCGGCGACTGAGCAGTGAGGAGGTGTATCTTTCTGTATTTAACATGATTAGCAGATCACAGATTTAAATTGTCTCCTATCTCTGCACCATCTACATTCTCATTCCTCCTCATTGTATCAAGCTTATCATTTTCTGTCTCTCGCCTGCTCAGATCATTTCTCCGATGTAGAGCCGCTACCTAATTCCATTGAAGACATGCATGAAGGAATGGTTTAATGGTAAAAACCAAACAATAAAAGGTTTAGGGCTTCAAAATTAATTTCTAGCACGAGAAGATTTATTTTTATTTTTTTTTGGGGGGGGGGGGGGGTAAATTCCTGTCCTGACAGGTGATTAAAATGTCATTTAATGTAAGAACAAACAGAAGCACAAAGACAACTTATGTTTGTTTTATTTTTTCAAGCTGCTTTGTAAAATCCATCCTCCGTGAGGGTCAGTAGTCCAATAAAATGCAAACTAATGTGAAAGTGAATCATTGGGATGCTGCATCCCAGCACCAGGTGGATGATGTTCAATGCAAATGGTCCTCACAGAGTGGCTGGAAAATTTACCATGTCTTGTCTTATTCAGCTGATAAATAAAGCAAACTCTATTTCCCAGGAGTAATTCAAAACATTTTCACCAATTTACTCAGTCAGCGGGTGCCATGCTTGATCCATCTTCATGGAAATGGCAAGTAGGGGAAAATGTAAAGAAATAAATAAATCACCCGCAGAGTGATAAAGTAAAACAGCTTTCTTGTTTGGTCCTGAAAGGTTTGAGAAACTGAACAAACCTCATATCATTCGAAGGAATGCATGTCCAAATGCAGGATATGACAGTAAAGTACAAAAACTGAACAACAATAAGGTTTTCCCAGGGTGTGACACGACTTCCAATGCAACATTTTCACCCACATAAGACACCGGCAAACAGGAACCTTTTGACAACATTCAACCATGAAGAATAACCTCATTTATTGAGCACATTTCTGGTTTCAGGGGTTGCATGCATTTCTATTGTTGCCCAGTGGCAGAGCTTAACAAATAGGATTAGATCTGTGCCCAAGAGAGCAGACTCCTGTTCAGGTGACACACAGTTCCATGCTTCAGCTCTGCAATGAGACACAGAGAATTACTTCTAAAGGTCAGTGGAGTCAGACGCTGAATGTCAGCGCTTAGCTGCAGTTTGGAAAAAAAGAACAATGCATTCAGACAAATGGGCCTATCTCTTGGGGGCAGGGTCTGCTCCTGAATCTCCACAGTAAAAGACACGGGATTATTGGGTGGGTTTAAAGGCATCGTAAGCGTACCAGTTGGAGACAGTGAATCCAGCATCCACTGTGAATAATAAATTGAGTATAAGACAGCCCAGGGTTTGTCAGATAGAAACTGTCATCACAGGCTGTGAGTTGTGCTCATCTTGATGAGACTGTAGAGAGGAGTCACATATCGTCTCGAGAATCAGGGGAATCATGTCACTGATCAGACAGTGCCTCCGAGAAGTTGACTGCAAGTTTAAATAAGCATTCCACACACCATTTAACCACGCAAACTGACTGATCGCAGGCTTAACTCTTTTGAAAGAATTTGCCAGCAGACTCAGGGTGAGAATTGGTCTCCACACGGCACAATCTGCCCCTGAAGGTGTCCGAATATTGAAAAGGGTTATTTAGGAAAAAGCTGCATATCTGTCAAATAAGATGGGAGTCGTGCGGCAAGCATCCAATCCAAATCAGCGAGTCGTCTTTTGACTCAGCGACGCAACTGTTTTCATTGTTGTCTCTGAAGTGCATTTTATATTGCTGCCTTAAACACATGCATGAAGTTCAGCTGGTAAAATGTGGGCAACAAAGGCCTGTGTGTGTCAAGGTCTGTGCCACAAGCTGAAAAATTAACTAGGCCAGGGGTTCCCAATACGTCAATCGCAATCTACCTGTCGATCGCAAAGGCATTATAGGTAGATCGCATGGCATTAAAAAAAAAAAATTATGTCAGCCTATCATCCTTCCTCATTATGAAATTTGTTACTTGATTGACATACATGGTAGCCAGTCACAGACCTCATTCTCTCAAACCAGGTCTCAGAGTGGAGATTTTTTGGGGAAACCCAAATTTCTTATCTGGCAACCCGCTGACATAGAAATGACTGCGTTTTTGTGTAAACCTGCGCATTATTTTTATTACCCCCAATAAAAATTGAATAAACACCAACGTTTCCAGAGGTTGTTCTCATGTAAATGGGGTCTTACAGTAGGTAGATCATTTCGACTTTGTCATTTTAAAAGTAGCTCGCATGATGAAAAAGTGTGGGCACCCCTGAACTAGACCGTGTCAATGTATCTCAAAACAAAACAGAATTTTAAAATGAGCAAATCTACTGGGAAGAATCCAATAAAAGTCTATTTTGGTTCAAAGTTTAGAGTGAAATAATTTGTCTATTATTTCATTTATTTTCAGTGACTTTTCTAGAGCCATTTTCAGAATCAGAGTAAGCTTTATTGTCATTGCACAGTGAAGTACAATGAAATTGCATTCCATACAGCCATTGTAAAGATGGACAGAAGTGTACAGGAGCTGCAGCTTCTTTAAGAAGTGCTGCCTTTTTTTGCTTAGGGGGAGAAAACATAAGGAGAGAGAGGCATATATAAAAAAAATACATCTCTCACACCATGTCCTTACAGGGCACAGTGTAAAGCATCAAAACAATTGACCACAGCAAGCAATGTAGATAGACACATGCATTTAAAGTCGTAAATGTTATTGGTTTTGGATTTCACTTTGCTTTGCTTTTTACACTGCCAAGAGTTATTTTTATAATTTCCAGACACCTGCAAACTGATAATTATCAACATTCCCACGTGTAAAGTTGTTGAATAATAATTATTAATGTGTTAAAAGGTTGGACCTGACTCCAAACAGCATTTTAACATGGTTGCACCATTGTTGCTGCAGAAAATGTTTGCAAGTTTATCTAAAGAAGTTTTCTAAAATTCAATCATAAATATAAAGTGTTTTAGTTTGCTTTCTAGTGTTTGTTTTTATATCTTTCTCAACCTTGGTGTTTGTGTGTGTGACATCTCTGCAGGCTCCGGGCTGGAGTTCCTGCTGGTTCTCTGTGGGCTCAAGTTTTCCTGGTCCTGCCCTCGTCACTGCATCTGCTACTCTGCACCCAGCACCGTCTCCTGCCAAGCCCACAACTTCCTGACGATCCCCGAAGGCATTCCTCCTGACAGCGAACGCATCTTCTTACAGAACAACAAGATCCATCGCTTGTTACGGGGCCACTTCAACCCCAACACTGTCATCCTCTGGATCTACTCCAACAACATCACCTACATAGAGCCATCAACCTTCCATGGCTTCTCATTACTCAAGGAACTGGACCTGGGAAACAATCGCCACCTGCGCTCTCTGGCTGAAGACACCTTTCATGGTCTTAGTCAGCTCAACACTCTCCACTTGTACCACTGTGGTCTCACTTCACTTCCAAATAACATCTTTCAGGGCCTCAGAAATCTACAGTACCTATACTTGCAGGTATAGTTCTTTTTATCCTAAATGTATAGACATAATTTATACAACTTGGGATGTGCCAGTACCACAGTTATTTCAAATCAAACACAAGTACAACTACTTACGTTTGAGTACTTGCCAGTACTGAGTACCAGTATGATAATACTTTGTAAATGCCATTACATCAAAGTTCATGATCAATAATGCAGGAAAAAAAAATCCAACAAAGTTAAGTCAAGCCCTCTGAATGTTTTTTTTTTTTTAATAAACATTTCGTCCTTCATCTAAAGGACTTCATCAGTCTGAGGAGCCACAACAAACTCAGTCCCACAAGCAGCACACTCACATAGTGGGCCAACCAGGTTTATGGTGATAAGATGGTTTCTGGAGTCTGCACTCTCCCTCATCGACTCCTCTGAGGCAGCCATAATAATGTAATATGTTCCCATGCAATGGCGAAATTAGCTCTCTGCATTTAACTCATCCACCCCCAGGTGGAGCAGTGGGCAGCTATTGAAAGTGCCCGGGGAACAATTGGGGATAGGGTGTCCTGCTCAGAGACACCATGAGATGTGCAATGACTGGGGATCGAACCTGGGACTTTCAGGTCCGAGTAGGCTGCATTGCCTCTACCCCATCTCAGCCATCCATGACCAAAGTAATTCAAAACAATTCAATTCAATTCAAAATGACTTTATTAATCCCAAAGGGAAATTAAATGGGGCAGCGTGGTGGCACACCTGGTAGAGCTCCTGCCTCTCAGCGAGCAGGTCCCTGGTTCAAATCCCGGTCCGGGGACCTTTCTGGGTGGAGTTTGCATGTTCTCTCCATGCATGCGTGGATTTTCTCCGGATGCTCCAGTTTCCTCCCACAGACCAAAAACATGCATGTTAGGCTGATTGGTAACTCTAAATTGTCCCTAGGTGTGAGTGAGAGAGTGAATGGTTGTTTGGCTCGTTTGTCTCTATGTGGCCCTGTGATGGACTTGCGACCCGTCCAGGGTGTACCCCACCCCTCACACAGTGATTGCCGGACATGGGCACCGGCGACCCCCATGACCCATAATGAAAAAAGCGGGTAAAAGATAATGGATGGATGGAAATTAAATGGTGTAACTCACCATGATGTATTCATTAAAGAGTTATTGTAGATGCTGATGGCTGTGGGCAGGAAGGATCTCTTGTAGCGGTCTGTCTTACAGTGGATCTGAAGAAGCCTCTGACTGGACACTGTGTGGCAAACGTCACTTCTTCACAAAACAAACACTTCTTATACATATTTTTAATTGTAGTTTTAATGTGTTTGAAAACAATAGGAGCCTAATTTTCATGTTAACTCCTCAAACTAGCCCAGGACAGCAATAGTTTTTTTCCAAAAAGGCCATTAGTGAGATTATCATGAAGCTCATGCTCAGATCCATTTATTCCCAAGACCCTCTGCTCAGTGATAGATTGTAGCTGATATTAGCAAATGTTTTGAACTCAACCTTACATTGGTGTTTTAGATGTTTTATCAAATTGCTTGTGTTAAAAGTGTCCATCTTTGTGACAACTTTGGTGAGCATATATTTTCAGGCCGCTTTACTTTTGTCCCTGCTGTTATTTTGAAATAACGCCACTTTTTTTTTTTTTTTTCTACTTTTGTTGGTGTTTAACTTAGCGACTTTGTGGTGCATTACCACCCCCAACTGGTAAAGAGTGCGGATCAGGAAACCCAAAGCGAAAAAACATAAATACCTCCACACAGCTGACATTGCTTCTCAAAAGTGGTTTTGGGTACTGTGGTACTGGAACAATTTATGAGTATGAGTATGAGTACACAATATCGAACTGGTGCCTGCTGGGGGTACTGGTGCAATCCTAACACAAATCCAAAATGCAACTTTGATAGTTTGAAACTAAAGTCTGTTGTAATTAAATTAATAACTAATAATATATTATTTAAATTTGGAAAATAACTATAACTTGTGAGAAAAATTAGACAACAGCTTTGTAAGTTTCTACGTGACCTCAAATTAAGTATTTTGGCCATTTTTGTTCCCAGCTTGTTGAATCCAGGTCAGGTCTCAAACTGAGCATGCCCTGGATGAGACTGTTCATAAACTCATACTCAGGCCTTCATGTTTGTTGTTGTGTTTTCAGGAAATTTTTAAAGTAGGTGAAACAGCTTGAATTCTGTTGCTAACGTGGAGTTAATAAATCATGTAGCTGTAATCCAACAGTGCATAGTGGGGGTGGGGGTTGGGGAAGCATTCCTTTTAAATAGTTTACAAATGATTAATCACTGGCAATGTGGTTTCTTTGGAGCACAGAGTCTGTGATGTTGATGAGATGTCTCAACAAGAAGTTAAACATAAAAATTGTCCAAAAAAACTGTTCTTGCTAAGACGCCAAAATCTAAACTGGTCTGGAAAAACAAAACTATCCCTTTCATCATGTTCATCAATTTTAGTTTGCCAAACAGCTGTTTTATCAAATCATGGGACATCGTGGAGATCTGGCTCAAGGTGTCCTTTGGCGTTTGTGCTCTAAAGCTCCAATGGAGGCAATTTTTGACACTGATAGCTTTGGTGTTTTTCGTCAGTAATTACTCAAAAACATGCAACGAAGTCCTTACAGGTGAAGTTAAAGGCAGTGGAAATTTCATATAGCCATGGGTTAAACTTTAACCGTTAAAGGCTAGTTAGTAATTAGTCTTATGTTTTTACATTCACTCTATGGTTTAACTTGCAGTTTTATAGATTGAGCCCAGAAAATGATTTAGCCAATGAAAATGGTCACTTTTAAAACTATCCTTACATTTTCCCATAAAAAAATGTGTGTATGCAATGTATTTTTTTTTTCCTGCTCTATCTGCAGTACAGTTAAAAAAAAAGAAAAAGTTCCTGAGTCATCCATGAATGTTGTTCCCAAAGAACCATAATTTAGAGATCTTCATCTGTGTTTCTCCAGACTGATTGTTGTTTTCAAATATTTTCTTTGGCTTTTGGCTATTTTTAACTTACCACACCACCATTATCTATTCAAGTGCAAAAATTGTTTCTAAACTTCAGGCATGAACTAGTTCTAACAAACATAAACAAAATGTATTTTTATATTTGTATTTCTATTTGTTAAAGATGTGACTTTCACATATGGTTTATGAGCCAGAGAACCATAAATACTGTGCATCTTGGGCACTTTCTGTTTTTGCTTTGTCTTCCACCTGTCCACTATTTTTTTGTTTGTTTGTTTTTGAAGCACAATATACTGTCATGGTCAGACTCAAGAACTTAAAAGAAAGTGAGTGAAAATGTAGCTGAAGTGCAAGAAATTAAGTTTAGTAAGACCTCTCGAAAGCCTGGAGAACTTTTGATCAAGACCACTTTAAAACATTACAAAACGTATTAAGAAATAAGGGAGGTTAAAACTTTTGAACAACACTGTAGTTCTAACAGTAGCTGAAACGCAACACACTATGTAGATGAGGCTGATTCACAAAAATGTATTTGTGACACATTGACAAAAGGTGAAAAAAAAATACTAAGTGCATTAATCTAAGAAAATACTAAAAAATACATGTTGTATGTATCTCCTCAGGATAATCATCTAAAGTATCTGCAGAATGACACGTTTATGGATCTCCACAACCTGAGCCACCTGTTCCTGCATGGAAACCGTCTGTGGAGCCTCAACCAGAACACCTTCAGGGGCCTTCGAGCATTGGATCGTTTGCTCTTACACAAAAACCAGATAGAATGGGTTGACCGATTAGCCTTCAATGGCCTGAAACGTCTCACTACCCTCTACTTGTTCAACAACACCCTCAAAGAGCTGTCTGGACAGTGTCTGGACACGCTGCCTTCTTTGGACTTCCTACGCCTGAACGACAACCCCTGGTCATGCGACTGCAAGGCCCTGTCTCTGTGGGAGTGGTTAAAACGTTTCCGTGGCGCAACGTCGTCAGTGGGTTGCCAGGCCCCAATTAATATGGTCGGGAAAGACCTGAAAATGCTCCACAAGGAGGACTTCTCCAGCTGTTCACCAACCGTTTCTGAGTCCAGAGCTCAGACTAATAATTTATCAGGCACAGTTAATCCGTCCATGAATCGAGGAGTGGTGATGGGCTCTGGAGGACAGACCCACATCGTGCATCCCTCAAGGCCTGGGCCACCTAAAAACTGCACAAAGCCTCGTAACAGAGGGGGCAAGAAGAAGGGTGACAACGAGGTTCACCATTCAAAGGAGGTCATGGCAGACAAAGAAGACTCCTCCCCAGACTTCTCAGAGAGAGGGAAACATGACCACACCTCCCCAGATGGCACAGTCACACAGAGAAAGTACAAGTGCTCTCCTCGGACCACTGTTCGACCCCCAAGTGGGGTTCAGCAAGCCAACAATAAGGCACCCTTATCTAAGTCGTTACTACAAGTGCAAGCCCTCTTTGTGGCCTTCATATTGACAAACATCGACCACATTCTCCGTTGACCTTCAGAGGGTTTAACAAATGCTAATCAGAAGAAGAAAAAAAAGCACAGCCCTCGGACCTTCTCTTGCTCCTGCACTGCAAGGCCTGTGTCTTTTCTGTATGTGTGTGAGTGTGATTATACGTGTAAATGTTCTTGTGGGGGGGGCTTTATTGTTCAAACTGAAGCAGATATCAAAGCATCCATCATCTACAAGAGAAAGATTCAGAGCACAAAAATCAGAGAGACTGAACAGGATAGAAGGTGAATGCAAACTAAGCTTGCACTGCCAGTGGCGGTACGATTTCATTGCCATACGTCTTGGTGTCCTATATTTTTGAAAACTTTTTGTTAACACAGCGGGAGCTCCGAAAACCAAAATTTAAAGGGGAGAATGGGAACTGTAAGTGATGACAGTGCAAGAAAAGTCCACCTCTCTGGCTATTTTTTTTTTTTTTTTAATTTATAATGGTTTATAGGGAATCTTGAGTTCAGAGTTTGTAAATGTACGCATAACAGTGTTACTGGGGCGTTACTGAATGCTTTCTTCCACATGCCTTTTGTGTTCTAACTTTTGTTAAGAACAAAGAAGAGAAGAATTAGAATGCCAGCAGCTTGTCAAGAGGTATAAAACATGGAGATCTACTTCAGAGTAAAAATGTGTTGCCACCGTTTTTTTTTTATGGTCATAAATATAACGTCCATTAAACGCCACTTTTTTTCCCATCCTTTCCATCTTCATTTGCATAAGTTCTCCACTTTGCAACTGAAGATTAAGCTGCTAATTGTTTCAAGATTACCACGATTACCGTTTGCTATTTTCATCTGCTTTGAGTCTCTGGGGAACCAAGCTGTGAATAATGAGGAGTCTGTCTATTTCTCGTGTCCCATGTTGTTCATTTGAGTTTTTTCTAAGACACAAAATGGACCTAGAGAGCTATCCCTGCTGCAGGGTCGATGGGAGCCTTAGAGGTCACGAGTCAAATGAGGATTTCTCAGCTTCATGGTGAGGTTGTGAACTGCTTCCTCCTCAGCGAGGATCTCCCTCCCTCATCCTCACTGAGAACGTGAGAAACTCTTCTTTTTATTCCATTAAGACCTAATTTCAAAGGCATACAAGACTCTATAAAAATGTGTGCTTACCTGAAAACAACAACTCTTCTGATCAATAATCAATCAAAGAACAATTTGAATGGAGCGAGGCCACCTGGGATCAAGCAGAGTTCTGCCTCTGTCTTAAACGGCGCGATTGCGAATGCAAGGATCCAAGAAGAAGACAATCGCTTCAGAAGTCCTGAAGGAGATGCAGACTTGTAGGAAATGACAAGACGTCTCGCTGTTCTTCTGGAGCACTCGTGCCTCCGTCAAACGATGTACTGCGTTGATGGTGTTTGTATCAATGTAACAATGAAGACAAGGGGACATCCTGCAGTGCTGATATTAATCATTTACTGTATTAATATGACAAAACAATATCAGTGACATCAATGATGATAACAGGGTTTTCGGCTCCTTTTGTCAAGAGGAGTGTTTCTGTTTATGATTTTTTTTGTTGATTCGTTGTTTTGTTTTTTTTACATGTTTTTAAAACCCGCTGTTTGTTAAAGCACAGTTCCTCATCCTTCCCTTTTCTTGTTCTGCTATATGCCTATTCATCTGTTTGTTGTCATAATTTAACTGTTCAGTAAGCTATCATCAAAAAACAACAGCACAATATTGTTTATAAGATATTAAAATCTATATCTTCTTATGTCTATCGTTGCACCGTGTCTTTGTTTGTTACCAAATTTAGCTTATTTGAAGAAACTTTTGTTTTAATTTGTTTAAATCTAAAATTGATTCTGTCAGCGTGTTCAGCTTTTCCCACCGCTGCTTCCGCTTTATCTTTGCTGCACTTTGCAATGTGTCTCTCCTGATTAGGTGTTGCTGCCTGAACCATTGCTGCCTCCAACAAATAAATGTCCTCTTCCTATAAAATGGTTCTCTCACAACAAAAACGAGTCCATTTAACAAACTCGTTTTTAGGTTGAACATAAAACAAAATGATGACGAGTTTGGAAAAACTCTTTGAAGATATAAACAACAAAAAAGGTTGAATCATGTCATCTGGACTTCGTTTTTTTGTTAAAAAAGAAACGTTTCGCCCCTCGTCCAAGAGGCTTCGTCAGTCTGAGGCCTAGCCATCTGGTATTACCCAGAAGCCACCCTGACTCTTGTGTTTCAAGCCTGCCTCAGATACCCCTGAAGTCTGGCCTTTTCACTAATGGTTTCAAAAACACACAGTTTGTTTTCTCAGTCATCCAGGTATATAACAACAAAAAAGGTTGAATCATGTCATCTGGACTTCGTTTTT